GGGATGGACAGGTGGTGCAGAGGCACATCCCGGAGCAGGGGGCACAGCGCCGACATCCAGTCTGCATTTGTGCCGCAGCCCTGGAAGTTGCCAGAAGCGCTTACCTGTCCGCCCATCAGGGGCCACTCGGTGCGACCTGAGGAAGGAAACAAAGTTTTGCTGACGTAAACCAAAGGGCCCAGAGCCACTCTCCTGGGGGGCGCTGGCAAAGCGTGCATCCTACCCCCTGCCGGTGCCCCCTGCTCCAGTCTTGCGCTAATCCCTCCACCCCGCCACCCCCGCCGCACAGAGGGGCTCACACGCCAGTCGGCCAGGTCTGTGGCTGCAGGGGTTCAATCCTGGGGGGGGGTGGTGCCTTGGGGGCCCAGGTCAGCACCCTGCCCTCCGCCTCCTTGGGTTGGGGTGCTGGGCTGTGGTGCAGGGAATCTGAGATCTGTTCCCACGGAAGCCAGCGCTCCCTTAGAAGCAATGGGGAGACGTCTGGGGCTAGGGGAGAGGAGGAGGTGTCTCCTGGTCCTTAACCTACGGCCCTGGCCACTGTCTTCCCAGCATCTGCCAGGTGATGAACACGCACGGGGTGTAATTTACTCTCAGGATAAGCCGACGAGGTGGGCACAGGACATCGCCTGCCCAGAAAAGGAGCCCCAAAGACAGGAGCCCATCCTGGGTTGAGCTGTGACCCGCCACCAGATTCCCACGTGGCCTCTTCCCCCAGCACGTCCCCAGCTGTGGAAGCTCTGTACACACAGTGACGGGGTCAGACTTGGCTTCCCTGGAAATAAGCCCCTTCACCCTAAGGGTTATTTTGAGCGGAAGAAGACTGAAGAAAAGCAGAAACAAGAAACACTCTCCTCCCTCCTCGTCTAACCCTAACCCTAACCCTAACCCTCGCCTGCAAGCAGGTGTAAATTTCCCTCTGTGCAGCCGTCCCCTTCCATCCCCTGTACCCGGAAGGGGAGGGCACCCCCCTTAAGTCTGCACAACTAGCCTCAAGGAGTAACACTGACCCTGCCCTTAGCCTCCCCAGCCGGCTACCTTCTTGGGATTTAGGGTCCCTACAACCCCCAGCCCTTTCACTCTGGCTTGTCAATTCCACACAAATTCATCAACCTTTGGTGAAATGGCAGATAAGGCCTAACGTCCAACTGTCTCCCTGGGTCCACTCCTCTTCTGGGAAGGCCTCTACAAACATCCAGAATAAACCCTGTCCCCTGTCCATCTGTCTTCTGTCATTTCATTTATTTATTTATTTATTTATTTGTTTGTTTGTTTGTTTGTTTATAACATAAGCTGTGCACCCGACATGGGGCTTGAACCAACGACTCTGGGGTCCAGAAGGCATGCTCCACTGACTGAGCCAGCCAGATGCTCCCCTCTGTGGTCATCTTATCTAATTTTATTTTTAAGTTTATTTAATTTATTTGGAGAGGGAGAGAGAGAGAGACAGACAGAGAGAGAATCACAAGCAGGATTCACACTGTCAAGGCAGAGCCTGATGCGAGGCTCAAACTCACAAACCAGGAAATTGTGACATAAGCTGATGCTCAATCAACTGAGCCACACAGGGGCCCCTCTTTGTCATTTTAAAATATTTTTTTAAAAGCTTTTATTTATTTTTGATACAGAGAGAGACAGAGCATGAGCAGGGGAGGGGGGCAGAGAGAGAGGGAGACACAGAATCTGAAGCAAGCTCCAGGCTCTGAGCTGTCAGCACAGAGCCTGACGCGGGGCTTGAACTCACAGACTGAGATCATGACCTGAGCTGAAGTCGGATGCTTAACCGACTGAGCCACCCAGGCGCCCCCCTCTTTGTCATTTTAATTTGCAGGTCTTCGTCCCAGAATCTAAGAGGTTAGAAAAAATTTGTTCCTTGTCTACACTGTGTCGAGTGCACCAACAGCCAACAGTACAGTATTGATTCTCATTCTGCCTCAGCAGACAAAAGCCTGATCCCTAACCCTAACCCTACCCCCGTCCATAAGAGGGTCCTAGAGCTAGCACCCCTGCCATCCATCTTCCCTCATGGTGGGTCCCAGGGCTCTCCCAGCTCACACCCAGTCCATCAGTGTCCCTGCAGGAGTGAGTGTGGGACCCCGGCCCTCCCGCGGGGGGCGGCAAGCATCCAGGTGGTCTGGGGCTGGCCTATGCACACAGGAGACATTCCTCAAGGCACTGTGCCATCCAGGGGCAGATGGGCCACCGCCTGCCCTCCGGCCATGCAGGTGTCTGGAAAGTGGGCAGACCGGGGACCGTGTAGCCCCAGCCTCAGGACCCCCTATATGTGTCGGCTGGACCTCACCTGGGAGTGTGGTCAGCCCCAGCTAGGACACACAGAGCAGGGGCTGTGGCTATGCCTCTCCCAGCTGCCGCCCGGGGGGCCTTGTCCCACCCAACTGAGCCCTCCCCAGTCCCATCCCAGCAGGGCCCACGTCTCAATGGCCCCAGGAAGAGGCACCTTGGGTGAACCCTGAGATCTGCCAGGGGCTCACCATTTTGCTTCCAAGGAAAACCACTCTGTGAGTTTCAGCTGACAGGTAACGAAACACACCCCCTCCCCCAGAATGTGCCCCTGGGCATTAGGGTTCCTACCAGCTGGAGGGAGCAACAGACCCCAGAGAAACTGCCCAACGGGGCACTAGTTTGTCTGCGTGAAGGCAGTTTCCATGTAGACGTGAAATGTCCACCTGAAGAGATGCCTCTGCCCCTGCACCTGGGAGAGCTCCTCGGCGCCCCAGCCCCCCGAGTCCCCTCCGCCGAGCCCAGCCCCTGGGGAAGGTCCTGGGAGCACCAGCACCCCGAGTCC